TTTTGACGCCTGAGAAAAGCTTTACATGCATTTTCAAAACTGATCAAATAAAACCCTGAATTGTTTACATCTATGTCTCAGTCTTCTCCCTCCTTCACTTTGTCGGTGCTTTGCTACATTTCTTGTGCACATGCATAATACAAGAGAAAGACCCACCTAGAAAAAGAAAAGTGCTCCCAGTGGTCAAAGACCACACAGGCCACCTTTAACTTTACATTTAGATAAGACTGTGAGACACATGTGAAGTTGATCAGTAGAGAACTGTTTGATTATTTGTGCCTCTTGAGCTTCTCCATGAGATGGACACTGATGACAGCAGACACCATGATGACCAGACCGACAGAGAACACGACTGTCTTCACCAGGCAGAGAGAGATACAGCAGAGAGATGTTTTTTGATGCAGAGAGAGATTTTTATTGTAAGGCATAAAAATGTCATAGTACAGTCAGGCATAAAAAGTCCTTAAGTATATTCAGCCATAAAACGGTCATAATAACAACATAGTATGTTAAAGCATAAAAAGTGATAAAAATATCATAGTGGACTCAGGCATATAAAAAAAGGACATAGTATAGTGTTACATAGGGTTAGATTCTGTTTTATTTTGGTGTTTCCTTTTGATCCTGTTGCTGATCCTTCTAAGTTGATGGCCTGATGGACACACACCTGTGCTGACTGGTGGTCTATTTAGGCCGCCCTTTGTTTCAGCTCTTCTCTCTCTCTCTCTGCCTCCTGCTGCATAATAAATAAGTCATAATAACGACATAGTATAGTAAGCCATAAACACGTCATAGAATAGTAAGGCATAAACAGGCATAAATATGACATAATATAGTAAGGCACAAATGTCCTAGGAATGTAATAGTATAGTAAGGCATAAAAAGTCATAAAAACCACATAGTATGATAAGGCATAAAAATTCATAGTATAGTAAGGCAGTAAAAAGCAAAAACATCATAGTAAAGTAAAGGCATAAAAAGTGATAAAAACATCACAATATAGAGATGCATAAAAAGTAATAAAAACAACATAGTATACCAAAGAATAAAAAGTCAAAAACGTCATATTGTAGTAAGTCATAAAACGTCATAAAAACATCATAATCATCATAGTCTCGCATTGGACGGCCCTTTGCTGCATGTCATTCCCCCTCTCTCTGCCTCCCCATTTCCTGTCTCTCTACTGTACTATCAAATAAAGGCATAAAAAAGCCCAAAAAATAAACTTAAAAAAAAAAAAAAAAAAAAAAGTCATAAAAACGAGTCATAATAACGACATAGTATAGTAAGCCATAAAAGTCATAATAAAGTCATTATAAAGCTCTCTCTCTCTGCCTCCTGGTGCCAGCAGCACCTTTGTGGTGCAAGGTATATGTCTTCTTTTCAGTTTCACCCATATATTGTTTT